CAAACTACTGCCGTTATCGGTTCCACTGTTCGAACCCAAATCAGAATCACTGTCATCCATACTGGCAGTGAGAGAGGTTTCAGTTGCCACCATGAGTGTAAGCCTAGACTTCCGCCTTGTCCTGTAAGCGCGCGGGGTTATCTTCTTCTCTCTATCCTTCTTAGAACCAATGGAGGCCAATCGACTAATGAACTGAGCGTATACTTCACCGTCGTCAGATCGCAGCGTGTGCAGTAGAACATTAGCATTCGTAAACGCCAAGCAAGATTGAAACAGCAAGTCGTAGTTGGGGCGGGACCAACGATAAGTCTCACCGCATACGGACCACAGAGTCTTCATTCTGCCAAAGTAGTTCACCACAATGACACGATTGCTAGAGATGCGATCGTTCGTGCGGTTGTCGTCAAGAGTGAGGATGCCTTCTGATGACTTCTTCGGCAAGACCGCTCGCACCGAGTTCTGGATACCTTGGTATCCCTTTTCGGCCATGACGACCCACTGGTTTGCATTGGGACCACCACAGTAAGCGATGCGGTTCTCGTGGGGTTGCTTTACCAGAGCCGAAGCATGAAACTCGAGGTTGTCGTCAAATATGGCCTTGTCCGACACGCTGCCGTTGAAGAGTCGTGTACAGTTGATGGCCAAGCCGTTTGGCAGGACGGATACTTCGACTTTGTGGCCATAGTGGTACTGTAGTGCTTCCCGCTGAAGTACATCTTCTCATTGTAGCTGCCAGCCGGAATACTTGTTTCTTGGAAAGTAACATCCGTAACGTAGCGTGCATAAGGGAAGTTGGAAAACTGGTGACCGCATGTGGCTAGTAGCGCCATTGAGTACTTGTCGTTGGCAGACGTCACAAACCGACGCATCAGATAGGGGTGAATCATCTTGGCGAAGTTCAATGTCCGCTTCTGGAATGACGGAGGGGGCTGTTTGAAGGTGACAGCCACCACATTCCACGAGCCACAATGCTTTAAGGCCGTCAGTAACATCAGCAGGAGGTCACGGCTTGAAACGTCAGACTTGCGACCTGATCCAACGTTCCAGTGTTTGGCAATACATCCACGTAGTTCCGCCCAGAGAGAGTTGAACTCGGTGGGACTGAAATTCGTCAAGATGTGAATGCCTTCGGCCCCCTGGGTATCCAGGAAGGTATCGTAGACAGGGCATGTTGACTCCGGATCATGATCAGTTTCTTCTGGCCGGACAATTGGATAGCGCGCACGCTTTGCGTGGCGTTGTTGTTCAAGGTTTTGTAGCAAAGCAACAGCTTGGTTGATGCTTCGCGATGTGTGCTGGGTGGGCTGAGTACTCTGTTGGCTAGCTCTACGAGCCATTGCTCCTTTTTGTAAATGGTTGCATGTTATTTCATCGTATTTTATGGTTGGCTGTAGGCTTATACGATTGTCAACCAACGGTTTGAGTGTGCTTGTATGTGTAATATGTGGTTTCGTTGCTATTTCCTGAGAAGTCTGGCTGTTTCGTAAAGGACCCAATGTTTTCCGAAAACAAATGACAGCTGTGAGATCTGCATTTTCTCACGAGAAGATCAGGATATTATTCAGGTTTCTCATCTTTCAAAAGTGCAACCGTTGAAAATC